TTCCTTCAGTAGAGTAGTTCCTTATTTGACAAAAAGAGACAAAAATATTGTTTTTGCTTTGAAGCCCTCCTGGTAAGGGCACTGGCTTGAAAGGAGGACAAGATGGAAAACTTGCCAGATAGCATGAATTCACAACAACAAAACCTTTAATGAGATTCTAAAATGTATTTTTAAGAAACCAGGTTAAGATGGGCCTCATCTTTTGAGCTGCATGTTTTAACCCTTGTTTGTTATTAAGAAAAAAAAATTCTAACTGGTCAGGTGTTTAAAATAAAGTTAGTAGTCAATCTAAGACTGCTCTGTATATATCATCTAAATTCAGATATCTTCATTTAATCATATTTATTTCAAAACAGGAAACTTTTCAGTACAAATCACAGCTACTTTGTAATTGTGCTATGTATTGAAACTGTTACATACTGAATTGTAAACTTGAAGCAGCTAATAAAACTTGTATTCATAAGTCACTTATGAGCTTATTAAGAGCTATAAAATGTTTTTTTGAAAAACTTGCTTCAATTTTTAAAGAAACATTAAAGTTATTGCTTCTATCTTATAACACATAATCTACCTTCTTATGTATAAACACTTAAATAGGTGACATAAGAAACTTTTATTTGCATACTATATATTAATTATGTAGACATGCACGCATAAACATATCCACAAAGGATGTTTTCCTCTTCTTGTCTCTACAGTTAGCTCTAAGTCAGTCAGTGCTGGAACCTACCAATTTTGAGATGTTTACTTTCAAAAGTTTCTAATTAACTGAAAGGGGCAGGCCATTGTTCTTTGAGTATATTTATGATCAAATTCTGTCTTTCTTTGCCTCTTGATTTTCTTGTTGGAAAAAAGACTAAGGGGACCAAATAAATTTGCAGAAAAAAGCATGAGTTTAATTCTTCTGTTGTGGCCTTGTTAACAGGTCATCCTGCTGGGAAATTTGGAGGGAATTGGCTTGTAGCTGAGTCTCTTTGCCTCTGGTCTAGCAGGGATGGAGGGCGAATACTTGCTGGGACATCCATGGTTGATACTAGCAGGCTGTAACTTTGTACTGAAGGTCGTGTTGTGTCATGGGCTCCCTGGCTTATGTGGCAGGGAGGAAGTATGGTTCTGTGTCAGAGAAGGGCCACATTTCTATGAACACCTTGTTGTTTGAATCTGTCACTGGCCGGTGGTTAATGGTGGCCTGGTCCGGTCCTTCAACAATCAAGGTCCCTAATTTTTCCCCAAACAAAACCTAAAATTTAAAAAAACGGCCTAATTTTTTTAGATCCTCCAGAGCATGTAGTAAATATTGTATAAATATTTGGACTAAAGGACTCAGAAATTTTTGTGTAAAACTTCTAAGGGTCATCCATTCTTTGACATTGATGGGTGAAAAAACAGATTCAGAGAAGGTAAGGTGGCTTTTCTAGGACTGTAATTTTCTTTGCTTCCTTCCTTTCACTCTCCTTTTCTTTGGAAGGGCCATGGCCCTCTATTAGTTTAAATAAAATATTATGGATTAAATTTACACATACAAATCAACTTAAAATGGATACACATGAGCATGTTTTGTATGAACATTGTATTTTAAAAATTAATGCATCCCTTCAAAGAGTAAGGATGATTCTATTTTTATTAGAAGCTTCATCCCTTATACCTGATAAGGTGAATCATAAGTTCTACAAGAAGGACAGTTTTGATGAGGAAAGGGATCTTTATTTGTTCTGTTCATGATATATTTCAAGTGCTTATCACAGTGCCTGGAAAAGAGATGACACTCAATAGAGCCTTGAGTTGAATGAATGAATGAATGAATAAGAGGGAGAAAGGAAGGAATACAGAGAAGAAAGATGGAATGTAGGAAGGTCTGATGGACATTCTGGGTTTGGCTTTCAAAATATGTTTTTATGACCAGAGTGATGTGCTTTTGGGTAGCTGCTGGCAGTGGCATTGGCAGCTACCCCCTGGCTGTCCCTGCAGTGGCCGTTGTATCAGAGCAGCTTGCGGATTCCTGCAGCTGTTCCCCCTTAGGACTGTTATCCAGGGGCCCTGTTTTGAAGGCCTCCGGATGCTTTTTCCCACACTTGCTCTCAATATCCATCCTCTTTTTGTACTCTCCATTGTCCTCTTATAGACTTTAGTAGTAGAGAGATAAATTAGTAGAGTCCCATTGCAAGAATGTCCATGTATTTCTTCCTTTCTCTTGTATTGTCAGCGAACAGAATATTTTAAGCTTATGAATAAGACCAAGTTTGATGTCATTTTTGTTTCTCTGTTGCGCCTCTTCTCTCCCCTGTGTGTTTTATATTTTATTACCGTAGCATCGTGGCACAGTGTCGTCTAGCCTAGGAAGAGTTTCTGGGATGACTTCTTGTACCTGTGGTCTAGGAAGCCTCCTGAGCTTTTTCCGTGTTGGACTCTGCCAAGCGCTTCCTCCAGTTTTGCATCCATCACATAAACATAAATGATGCAGTCCTAAGATCGAAGTTTTTGCTGGGGCAATGTGTAGAAGCAAAGACATATTTAGAGTGAGAAAGACTGAGTTTAAAGATTGTATCTACACTAGACTCATTCCATTTTTTTGACATTTACTTTGTATCTAAAGCTTTTCATTTTTTGAAATATGCAATCCTTGAGGAATTTTTGTGTGAAGGAGTAATATTATCTTCATAGTGCATGCAGCATGTGCTTAGTAAATGGTAAATTTATAATTACTTTTATAAACTGAGATTTTTATGGAAAAAATTGTAGAGTTACATGCTGTAGTAAAGAATAATAGGGATATTCCTATGTCTAGGTTACCTAGTTTCCCCAAAAGGTAACATTTTTCAAAACTACAGTATGATATCACAACCAGGATATTGACATTATTACAATCTACAGAGCTTATTCAGATTTCCCCAGTTTTACTTGAACTCATGCACGCATGTGTCTTTAGTTCTGTACAATTTCTTTACCTGAGTAGGTTTGTGTATCCACCACCACAGTGAAGATGCTGAACAGTTCCAACAACACAAGGATCATTGAGGTTGTCCTTTCGTAAGCAAACCCGTGTCCCTCCTGCCCTGTCTTCCTTCATCTCTAACCCTTGGCAACCACTAATCTGTCCTCCATTTCTGATATCTTGACATTACAAAATGTTAAATAAATGAACATAAATGTTATATAATGTTACATAAATGGAATCATAGAGTATGCAGTCTTTGGGGATTGGCTTTTTTCACTTGGCATAATTCTCTGGAGCTTCATCCAAATTGTGGGGTATATCAATAGTTGGGTGCTTTTTATTGCTGAGTAGTAATCCATGGTATAGATGGAACACAGTATGTTTAATCATTTACCAGGTGAAGGACATCTGGGTCCCATTGTTTGGCTATTATGAATAAAGCTTCTATAAACATTTGTGTGCAGGTTTTTATATGAATGAAATTTTTCATTTCTCTGGGATAAATCTCTAACACTACAATTGCTGGGTTGTGTTTTAAGACTTATGGTCTTCCTATTATATTACGAGTCATGGTCCCCTGGTAATATGATTTCTTTCTGTGTATAAATGGAAGTTAAAATAATGTTCATATGGATCTTTAAAATAATAGCCTGACAGCTGACACCTTTAGGCAATTAGTCAAGTTAAGAAAATTGATTGTCTTCTTACTGGGTTCTTCTTTTTAAGCCTCAATTTCTATGAAGCAGCTCCCACATCCCAAAAAAGTACATCATTCTTAGAACCTCAAAGAATATTTCCCTTTTCCTCCTGTCTTGCTTTTCCAATGATAAAGGAATTGCTAATGCCCTCTCGATTTCAGCAATGTGAAAATTTTTATATCATACTTCCTTTAATTCATACCTCTGACATCTGAATTTTAGTTAGCTCAGTCTTCTCTGTGTTGTTAATAGGGCATCTTCCCTGGTGTCTCTGCCCTGCAAGCAGAGTCTTACCTGGCGACAGCTCACCTGTACAGCCTCAGGTCCCCATTCTCTTGCTCGCCATGGCCACGCCCACTCAGGGCCCTCACACATGCCCTGGAATGAGCATTACCCTCCTCACACGCTCAGCTCATTCTCACCCTTCAGCTATCGGCTCAGATCTCACCTCCTCACGGGAGGTCCTTCAGGTAGTCTGTACTTTTCTGTCATAACACTTACTGTATTTTGTTTTTTGGTTGTATAAAATGCAGGACCCCACATGTTTCAATCTGGTCAGGGTGTCCCCTTCAGAATTGTTACCTAAATCTTAACATCTCCTCTTGAGGGAAAAAAACCTGAATGTGTTTACCATACAATAAAATATTATAAAGTCCTTAGACTTTTCTCTCATGCTCAGTGTCTCTCACAATCTTGACTGTGCTCTGGGTAGGGAATCCTGTCCGTTTTCTGAAACTCGCGGACACGTAGCCACAAAGACTCTTCTGCCGCTGTGCCGCCGGCTCCCGTCCGGGTAGTTTACTCACCAACACGCTGCTGTCTCTGCCTAGTCCCCCTTCTCTGCACTTGCTCGCCTTCCGTACAGTGTGCTTGTTGCTCCCCACTAACCCCACAAAGTATCTTTTCATTGTAGGTTTGCTCAGGGTAATTGCCCGCCCTCTGATTTTGGTGAATCATTATTACAGTGTTATGTTTGTGTGATCATTTGATTGTCTTCTCTCCAAAGTTTAAGTTCCGTGATCTTAATGACCTTGATACTTTGCTCCCCGCTGTATCTCCAGCCCCCTGTACATGACTCCAAGCCTTTGTCTTATAAATATCCACTGCCAACCACTGCCCCCTTCTGCCTTACCAGGTGAGTCCTTAGACGGGTGCTGTCCACCTCACCCACTATGCACTGACCTCCCTGAAGACTGGAGTGGGGTCTTATTTATCTTTGTCCTCTAGAACCTGGACCATTGACTAGCAGATGTTAGGCACAGGAATGAATGCATGAAGGAGTCAAACTGTGTATTTTTTATATAGGAAATATTTGGTAAAAGTCTAATAGAATGAGTGAATAATGTAAATCTTTCTCAATTTTCCAGGTGGTTTTTGAAGTGATAACTTCTGGACACCAAGGCTACCTCGCTATTGATGAAGTGAAGGTGTTAGGACATCCATGTAGTAAGTTGTCCCTACTTTTAAATATCCGGGTACATCCTTGGGGGCATCTTTATATTAAAGATTAAGAGAAGGGACTAACCTGGGGAGAAGTCATCCTACCAAGAATATTCCCTGACAAATCTCCGTGTGTTGGTTTGCCAGCCCTGAAATCCAAAAACCCATATTTCATTTGGAAATGTCATGGTTTGTATGTATCTAAGTATCTTAAAATGAAAATGAGGAAAGAGGAATAAAGGAATATTTTGGTACGCTCGGACATCCTTCCAAAAGAGCCTGTTTATTCGTTGCCATGATCTTTAGATTTTACCTTTCAGTAGTAGCACAAGGTTAAATACTGAGAATTTGTGCATTTTGTTCTAAGTCCAGTATGTTTTTGGCAAAGTTCCTTCATAGTGATCACGTAGTTTCAAGCAACACAGGCCTAAACAGGCCTAGGATCTGTCAAATATAGGACACCTATCTAAACTACCTGGGGACCCCAGAAATGGTCTTTTCTTCCTCTTTTAAAAGTCAGTACTTTTAGAAAGTACAACGGGTGATAGATGCACACTTATTTAACATCCAGTACAAACAACTCGTAATAGTTTGTCATATTTATATGTGAACCTTTTTCCTTAAATAAATAAACAGTACCAATTGCCAGCCCTATTTCTTGCCATCACCCTAGGGGCCACCACAGTGGGACGCTCATTATACCTCCATCTGTAGAGTCTCTAGTCCACATGCCACAGCAGCAGACTGTAGCTGCTTTAAGCTGAAAAGGCATTCTGTTGAAAGAGAATTGGCTGGCTCATAGAATCCCTGAGAATACCGGTGACCTAGGCACAGATAATGAGCAGGTCCCCAAGGTGAGGCTAGGCCGGCAGACCACAGTGACTGCTGCAGCGGGGGAGCCAGCCATGAGGATATGGGGAGCTGGTGCCGTGCCTCTGCCTGCCTTACCCTTGCAAGGTGACCCTAGCCTCCTGTAGCTGGGCATTCGTCACTGACTCTGGGCCTTTGCATCTTTGTTCTTCAGTGCGAAGGCCCGGGTGGGATTGTCTTGGTGGGCAAGCTATTATTAGATTGTGTGCTCATTTCCTTCTAGCAATTGGCATGATCTAGGGAAGCAAGGTGTTGGCTTTTCTGCTCTTTCATGGTAACTAGGCCTTGACTTTTAACAAGAAACATACGGTGCTAAGCAGTCAAACACTGCAAATGCCCGTGTGTGTACATGTGTGCTATGTTTCCCACGATCACTGTGTGTTCATAAAAGCAAAAAAGTAAAGTTTGCCTTGTATAAGTTCTAATGAATGGTATCAAATTGTACACATTTCTCTGTATTCTTGGGTTTTTTTCCCACTTAGTATTACATTTTTTAGGTCAATCTGTGATATTCTATCATATAAATATACTGCATTTTAAAAATTCTTCTGTGAGCATTTAGTGTGTTCCCCTTAGTTTTCCTCTGTAAAAACATTGCTGCAGTGAACATTCATGCATGTGCCTCTTGGTACAATATGCGAGAACCTCAGTGGAGTATATTCTTAGAAGTCGAATTGCTGGGATGTAGGGTAGACACATTTTTAGTTTTATTAGATGCTGCCAATTTGCTATGAAAAGTGTCTGAACCAGTTTATATTCCCACCAGCACTGCATGGTAGTTTTATTTTTCCTATATCTTTGCCCAAAATTGATATTGTCAGACTTTAAATTTTGGCCATGTGAGGGATGGCAGCCGGCTTTATTTTTAGGATCGCTAGCATTAAAGAGAAACTGGCTAGTTTGTACATTTCATGGATCTCTGCTGATGGCTCCTACCCAGGTAATGAGAGCATGGTTATATCTCCAGTGTTAGAAATATTAACACTTGCAGGAATGTCTCAGCTTTTCCTTGCTTGAATTTGAATAGATCATTAGGTCACTGTTTATAGTTACAGAGAAGACCCACGTGGTTATTATCTGATGGGGGTGTCGTGACATAGTTGTCTAATTCTAACTAAAGGGGTTTTGCTCTCTGATATCTTTATTTGGTGTTCTGAAGCTTGGCAAACATGGAAGTTAACTCACAGCAATCATCTCGTTTGTTACTAAGGCAGATGTTACTTTTGTATCATTGCATTTACCTTTTCTTCTGTATCAGCAAGAACCGGGCATTCAAGAAGAATTTCTACCCCCTCTTCCTTTCCTGAAAAGGCAGGAAAATGATCGAGGCTGTACCTAATTGAAACAGCAAGGCAAATTTAGGAAGCAGAATACAATTACTCGAGTTGGAACTTGGCCACATTCTGAGAGTAATAGCCTCTGGCTAGACATGTGCCATAGGATTGTCTAATACACACTAATATCCATGGCCTCTGATCCACTTCTTACTAGGAGGTTAAAAAATAAGAGCCAATAATACTGCATACCTACCAAGTTCTGAGCGCTCTAATGACATACGTTATCTACCTGTTTCTTAGAGCAGACTTCACTGCAAGGCAGATGTTGCACTGGGTGCAGGTGTGGCGGGGCACCCAAGGCTGCACAGGGCTTCCTGTTAAGTATTCTCAGTTCTTTCTTCTGCACCTGGACACTGGCCAACATAATAACTCCTAAAAGGTAGCCCCTTCCATTCCACTGGATTTCAGTCATTGTGTTCAGCAAAGTCATAAAGACTTATCCTTCTATCAGACCATTCCTAAAATGTGTCTCCTGCAGTTTCATTCTTCCCTTAGGAGCCGGCTTCCTATAGCCATGCAAACGGTGTTTATGTTCTCTCTTTTGGAGAATACCTGTGCTAATACCTAATTGGCTTTGCGAACTGCTATTAGGAGGCACAGAATTGCAAAACAGGCTCTATACCAAGGCGATGTATAGTACAATAGCATTTTGAACTGTAAGCCTTAAATGGTTTTGATGATAGCCCTTCTGTAGTTATTTTTTCCTGAATCTCTAAGTTTATGAGGGAAACATGCAAATAAAGATTTTAAGGAAGGCAATAGTTTGGTCCTAAAATGGAAAGCTTTATGGGTAATATTTTATGAGATTTCCTAACAAGATTTCTTAATAATAATCAATTATTCAGAAATTTTGATGCTCATTAAATTTAAATCCTAAAGGAACATAAATATTTCATATCTAAAACTATGCTTTCCGAATGGATGCGGAATTGCTAAATCTCATTTAGTTCACTGTAAAGGCTCCTGTTTGGATTCATATGGGTTTATGAGTAGGCATTACAACATTTTTTTAATAGTAGCTGTTCGGATACAAGTATACAGTTGCTCATAAAGTTGATTTTAATGTAGTGACAATAAGATGCAGGATCAGCTTGAAATGTGCAGATGGCTGTGCAGATTCAGCAGCTCTCTAGCTTAAGACCACTTCTAATAAACATAGATAATTCTTGTATTTCGTATGCATGCTAAAAATATATTTTGAATTTGGTTCAATATTCCTGGTAGGAAAAACTGAAGAAGCATTTTATCAGCTTCATAATGTTGTTTCCTGTTTTTAAATACATTGTGAGCTATGCATATATGGGTATTTCTATTACTACCTTGTGGTGCCAATATGTATTTTTATATCTTATAAGCCCAACAGAATTTTAACAGGTTTATTGAGATATAATTCACATGTCATACAATTTACCCATTTGAAAGGTATAATTCAGTTGTTTGTAGTATATTCACAGAGTTGTGGAACCACCACCATAATTAATTTTAAAACATTTTCAACCCCTCCCTCCGAGATACACCCTACAGCTGTTAATGGTCACTCTCCGTTTCCTCTGGCCCCTAATCTCAGCCCTAGGCAATTATTAGTTTACTTTCTCTCTCTATAGATTTGCTTGTTCTACACATTTCATTTAAATGCAACCATGTAGTATGTGGTCTTTGTGTCTGGTTTCTTCCACTTAGCATAATATATCAAAGCTTATCCATGTTGTAGCATTTATCAATACCTCATGCCCTTTTAAAGTCAAGTAATAGTCCATTGTATGTATATATCACATTTTATTTAATTATTCATCAGTTGATGGACATTTGGGTTGTTTTTACCCTTGGATATTGTGAATAATGCTGCTGTGAACATTTATGTACAGGTTTTTGTGTAGACATTTGTTTTCAGTTCTCTTGGCTGCATACTTAGGAGTGGAATTGCTGGGCCACAGTGTAACTCTATGTTTAGCATTTGAGGAACTATGAAATTGTTTTGAAATTGACTATCGTTTCACATCCCAAAGAGCAATGTATGAAAATTCCACTTTCTCCATATTCTTGCCAATACTTATGCCTTTTTTTTTTTTATCATAGCCATCTCTTGTATTTGAAGTGGTATCTCTTTGTAGTTTGGATAATGGCTAATGGTTTACATAATGGCTAATGACAAACATCTTTCCATGTGCTTATTTGCTATTTGTATATCTTTTTGGGAGAAATGTCTGTTCAGCTTCTTTCCCCATTTTTAATTGTATTATTTATCTTTTATCATTTAGTTGTAAGAATTTTTTATATATCTAGATACAAATTTCTTATTAGACATATAATTTGAAAATATTTCCCCCCAATCTGTGGATTGTATTATTTATCTTTTATCATTTAGTTGTAAGAATTTTTTATATATCTAGATACAAATTTCTTATTAGACATATAATTAGAAAATATTTCCCCCCAATCTGTGGACTGTCTTTTTATTTTCTTGATGGCATCCTTTGCAGCACAAAAGTTTTAAATTTTGATGAAGTCCAGTTTTTATTTTTTCTTTTCTCACCTATGCCAATTGTATTATTTGATGTTATATCTAAGAATGTTTTGCTTAATCCGAGATCACAAAGGTTAATCCTATGTTTTCTCCTAAGAAGTTCTACAGTTTCAATTCTAACATACAGGTATATGAGGTATTTTGAGTTAATATTTGTGTATGGCATAAGAAAGTGGTGCACCTTCGTTCTTTTTGCTCCTGGATACCATCACCTTTGTTGAAAATCAACTAACCATTAATATAAATGTTTAATTCTGGACCCTCAGTTCAATTCA